ATCACACATGGCGACCCAGATGGGATCGGGAGAGAACTCGCACATGGTGACCCAGGCGGGATCGGGAGAGGGCCCGCACAGAGTTGAATTGGGATACCTGTTAAAAGGTCCGAGATTTGGAGAGATTCAGAGATTCAGGTTGGCCGGGGAGAGGCAGTCACAGCCAGATGGCTGCAGGTTCTCCTGCAGCTCCTCTGGCTCTGCCTGCCTCTCCCCAGGCAAGGAGAGTCATGGGAGAAGCCCCCATGGCTGCCCTGCCTGGCCTCAGCGTCCTGGCACTTCCCTCATTGCTCCTTCTGTCACTCTCTCCCCCTCCCTCATTGGGCACACAAACACACACCCCTTTCCCGCTCCTGCCTGCAGGGTGCTGGCATGACCCTGTGTTCCCGCAGTTCAGCGATGCAGCCTGGGGCCACGTGGTGCTGGAGCAGGCGTACAGGGAAGCAGTGAAAGTCCGTGCAGGCAGAAGTCCTCCCCCCCCCCCCCCCCCCCCCCCCCCCCTCTCATTACACACACTCTCTCTCCTTCCCTTATTGCTCTCTGTTTCTCTCTCCCTCATTGTGCACACGTACACCCACCCCTCTCCTGCTCCTGGCTGTGGGGTACCAGCATGGTCTAGTGATGCAGCCCAGGGCCACGTGGTGCTGGAGCAGGCGTGAGGGGAAGCAATGAAATCCAGGGCAGGCAGAGGCTTCCATTGGAGGGCTGGCCTTGCTCCCGAGTCCTGCTGGTTTCCCCTCAGTCCTACTGCCCCTAGTTCCTGTCATTTTTGACAGGCAGGCAGGAGCAGATAAATATTAATTTTCTAAACTTTTTAGGTGCCCTGTGGGCCAAATAGAATGGCCTGGTGGGCCAAATCCAGCCCATGGGCCATAGTTTACTTGCCCCTGATTTAAATGGTAAACCAAAGCCTCTTGAGCACAGTAGGCTGCAAGGGAAAGGCCATGGCTTCCTAAGTTGCCTCAAGTTAGCACAACTTGATTTTTGGAAGTGTAAACACAGAGTCATTTAACACAGGCCACCACTGGTCCAGTTTTACACAGTAACACAGGACAAAGGACTGAGCCTCTCCTGGAGCTAGGATTCTGTTCTTTCTTCCGCACAGACTTGAGCAAGTCACATATGGCTCAATGCTCAGAGATTCTTAGGTATCCAAGTCCTGTTGAACTCCCAGGGAGTCAAGCATCTAAACATCTTCTGAGGAGCTCGTCTTAGCATTTCTGTGCCTCTTCATATACCCCTCTTTGCTGTCACTTTTAAGTTTGAGTCATGAGATCACTGGAGTAGGGGCCACCTTCATGGTGTGTGTGTGTGGGGGTGGGTCAACCTTTACGGGGTGTGTGTGGGGGGTGTGCACATGCAAATGCTAAGGTAATACAAATATGTTTGCCAGTGGGGCTAACAGTGCTTTTCTGCTTCAGAGTGCTGTTAGGGGATGAAATACGGTAAAGGCTGAGGGGTGCCCAGATAGTGTGGTGATGGCAGCCAGGGAAGTTTTTAGATAATTCAGTTGCTGCTTACCTGGATTATATACCATTGAGGAAAAGCTCCATATCACATTGCTGATCCCCTGACCAAGGCAAATGCAGGGGAGGTGTCCTCCTTTTCTTCTTCCTCTTTACTTTTAATTGAAGGTGTCCACTTAGTATATGAAAATATTTATACCTGCTGCATTTGCTTTCCATGCACACTAAAAGCTTTGTTTTTGAATGTGGATATTGTAGAGGAAGTGGCCAAAACCTACTGCCTGATGCTGTAGCTCAAAATTTAATTGGAAAGGGAACTGCTCTGAGCTAATGAAATAGTGGGCCATCTTCCTCCCTGTCATCAGTGGCTTGAATGGACATAACAATAGGAGGAGAAACAAATGTCATGGCAGAAAGATGGGCAGTGCTAATCCTTTCTTGTCCAGCAAGTGGCAGGCTGCTCCAAGCAACAGGCAGGTGCCTCGCCCACACACCTTTATGCTGATGGGGAATAAAACTATCGATTCTCCTGGGTGGGAGGGAGGTGTGTGTGTTAGTGTGAGAACTGTTCAAAATGTGACTCATTTTGAAATGACCAAACACACAGGTAGACTACATACATAACTTCCCTTCCTACCTGCACTGGCACAGTCAAGAAATATTTGTTAAACAGGTTTTGCTCACCTGAAACACTTCCAGCCCTGTGGAGCTAGTAATGGGATACAGAATGTTTTCTTGGGTCACTAGAGGGATCTGAGTGCTTTTCACTAAAGAATGGAAGCTAAAAGCTAGATGGTAATGACTTCTGTCCCTTTCTGAACAGTGGAAAATAATAGCTGTACACCTGCATAGTGAGTAGCCACAAGGAAAGAACTCTGACCTCCCTGCTCAGGTAGAGGTGTATTCATTTTCACATTCTCGTAGGATGTCCTCCCTCTCTCTTTCTCTCCTCCTCTCTCTAATTGTAAGACCTAAGGTCCTCATGTACAAGGACTGACAAACCCTTAGGTTTAAATTATTTGAGGTGCTTTAATACTTTATCTTTACTATGGGTTTTATTTAGACACTTTAGATAAATTCCTTACCTCATTGATATATTTGGTAGCCGTGTTGATCTGAGACAAAAAGAAATCCAAAAATCTAGAGCTCTTGGTTCAGAGATGTTACCTTTTATTAGATCAACTGAGAGTTGGTTTAATTAAAGGTGTCATCTCTGAACCAAAAGTTCTAGATTTTTGCATTACCTTATTGATACTCTTATTCACATGTTGCTCTATCAGTTTTCACCAGTAATTGTGAGATTCCCTACTTCAAAAATGAGAGAAATCATGGGCTGTAAAGACACCTGCAGCAAGACCTGCATAGTTACATCTCTATGCAGTTTGCTCAGCCAAAGTGTTTATTAATCACATACAATTTCAGTAAGTCACATTTGGTGCAAATAATATTGGAGTCATAGGCTTTTGCTAATCAGATGACAACCTTAGTAAAGTGTCAGATTTTCAAATGCCTTTAAGTGGTTTTAGGCCAGTTTTGCAAGACACCTTTGTAAAATGATACTGGGTACAGGGATAAGATTTTTAACCAAGCATATTTTTTTTTAAACAAATATCATGATGAACGGAGAACATAACTATCAAGTTCAACCTAATTCACCACATGAGCTATACACTGTGACAAACTAAAACTGTGCTCACTCAGCTCTGGCTGGCTGAAGAGCCATTCACTTTCTGATGTTGTGTGCATATCTATTGTCCCTGGATCAGCAAAGGGATGGTGCAATAAAGCCAAAACCAGTGACATTTCTATGGCAAACCAGAAAGTCCCTTTGACCTTTGGGGAGAGAGGCTCCATCTCCTCCACAGACACTCTGTGATGTGGTATCTGCATTTTTGAGCATTGCCTTTAGCAGTCAATTTCCCTGACAGTCCAAGTATGCTATTATATGTAAACCAAAGACCACAGCATAAAAGTCACTGAGACCATGAAATCGCTGCAGAATTACTCATGATGCATGAGTAAACTGGATCAAAATGTGCACAGATGGACTGCTTTCTTTCAATCTTATTTTTTTTACTCTCATGTTCTGTCATGCCTGTCAGCTTTCTCTATTTGGGGACATTAGCTCCCTGGCTCCCAACAGTTAAATTCCCTAATGTTGAAAAAAAATCTTCCATTTCCTTCTGTAGGAGATGGTTTCTCTTTTCAGCATCTTCACGTGCTCGCTCCGAATTCCTCAATTTGATCTCCAGCATCATGTATTTCTTTTGCTCTTGGTCCAACTCTTCCTCCAATTTTGTCACTTGCTTTTTCAGGTCTGCACTTTTTTCTTCAATTCTTAAAGCCAGGGATGGGGGAAAGGGAAAAAACAAAAGGCATTTTAGACCAGAGAATGCTATAGTACCTGTCATAAAAATTACAGCTTTTCATATCACTGCTAAGATTTTCTCAAAATAACCTTGTAATAGGTTAAAGAGGCACAAATTGCAGGTCCACGATTAAGGTTTAAGTGGGGATTCAGCCCTTTGGTTTTACAGGAACAATGCAGTTTCTCTTCTCCAGGCTATAGCACTCACTCTTGGGGCACAGAAGGACTTTTGAGGTGCTCTGATCAATCCAACAATTAGTTTAAATTGAAATTACTTTTAAAAATCCTCTTGTCCTTCCTCATGCCTCTCCTTTCCCCTGTCAAATCATCTGATCTAGGCTAAAAATAGATGCCACCAAATGAACCATATGAGCTGTACTGGGATATGTCCTGGTATAGCTTATCTGTTTCACTGATTGAAATGTGTTGCCCCCTGTCCTGCCCATTGATGCTGTGGGACAACAGGGGATGCTTTCTAGGGCTTCTGGTACTGCGTGCCCCTTGAATTCCTGTGCCGGATCCTACTCCTCACCAAGATGCGCCCTTGGGATTTCCTGGGTAGGTCTGCAAAAGCAGGGAACGTTGGAGTTTCCCTGCTTACCTAGATGCACCCCAGAGTTTCCAGAGGCCACACCTGTTTGTCTTGACTAGGCTGCTCATGCAAGACCTGCTCATGCAAGGGCTGCCTGTTCTGTGTACAAGCACAGTGTGTTAAGCATCCTCCTCACGTAAGAAAGAGGTTAGGTCAGATATTAGCCCAGACCTCTCTCCAGCCACCTTTAGAAGCTGACCCACTTCATCTTGAATTTAATCTTCATTGGATTAAATGGGTCAACAATACTGGGTAGACTAATCTAATGTGCAGTAAAGCATCAGTGTCTACATGTGCACAGGATTTACTGCGCAGTAAATTAAGCTAATACACCATTTGCTAGTACCAACAAATATAGGTACTAGATTAATGGTGGTTTACCTACTGTGCAGTAGTGCATGTGTAGACAGTGACCGGGAGTAATTTGCTCCCCCAGCCATGAGTAAGGAGTGGGAGCCGCCTGGGACATGTACTGCATGGGCAGCAGCAGGGCTGAGGGGGAAGGGAGCTCTCTGCCCCTTGGCCCTGCTGCTGCCCATGCAGCATACACCCCAATCAGCTCCCACTCCCACTCAGCTCCCACTCCATACCCATGCTTTGGGGGAGCTAGGAGCTGAGCAGCACCAGTGGCCCTGGTGCTACCTAAAGCTGCATGGCCCCATGCTGCACCATGCCAGACCAGTCTTGCGACAAGTGGCACAGGTGGTGCCGGCTCTGAGGCAATCAGGGCCATGCCGCACCACTGGGGGCTCTGGCCCCAGTGGGCCCTGAGCGCCCCACAGCCACTGCTGCTGCAGGGGCAAGCTGTGGGCCCTGCAGGGGGGCTGGGGCCCTGCGGGGAGCGATTGAAGGCCCTGTGGGGATGCATGTGTGCTGTGCAGGGAAGACGTGTGCCCTGTGGGGGGGGGGCTGTGGGCCCTATGAGGGGACAGTCCATGTACTGTGCGGCGGGGGCTGCACCCTGTGGAGGTGTAGGGGACCCACCTCTCCTGAGCAGTCCCCCCACAATCCACCCACAATACCCACATCCTCAAGCTACCCCCACAAACCCCTCACCCACATACCCAGCCACAAACCCCAAACCCCTGCACAAGCCCCATACCCCTCCAAACCTCACCCTCACAAACTCTACACCCACCCACAAACTCCCCCAACTCCCCCCCCTCCAAATTGCTTTACACTTGTAAATATAACAATAAAACATTGCTCAACTGATCTCTACATACAGTGGTGTTTTGTTTTAATAGCAGAAGAGCACTATTTTGGGTATTTTAATGAGAGAATTTGGGTTTCTTATCAGAGTATTTGCAATTCCTAAACAAGCAACACATCTCTGCTGGTGAGACAAGTCACGAGACCTGTGCAGAGGAGCCTGTCCGGAGTCAGCACGGGGGACCCAACTGAAGGACAGACAAGGTGGCTGACCTCTTGTCCATTTGGGACCAAGAGGATATGCTTTGACAGTTCAAAGTGGGCTACCACAAGGACCACATCTTCTGGGTGATAGCTGCCCAGATGGCAGAGCGGGGGCACCCCATCCAGGTCTGGCAGGGGCGCAGCCATGTGGCTGCAGGCCCAAGGGGGCGGATGCTGTTGCAGGTGGCAGCAGGTCACAGCCAGGCAGCAGCCCCCATTGCCAGACTGCTGCAGTGGGTAGAGGATGCAGGAGCCACTCCAGGTTAGGGCTCCTTCAGCAGTCCAGCTGGCACAAGGGGTAATGTCCAATACCAAGTGGCTGGGCCTCAGAAGCTCCTGAAGGTAAGTAGCCCTAAGCTGTTCACCAGGGCAAGTTTTTATATTGCTGGGACCAGCACAGAGCAGGTTTTTATACTGCTGGGGCCAGCACAGGTGCTGGTCCTGGGCTCTACCTCCCCCTGGCTGCATATACGGAAGGAGCTGGGCAGGGTTATTTTGCCTCAAATGGCACAACTTTTCCCACATCAAAATGCATGTCTGGGCACGTGCACTGAGGCAAAAATCCCTGGCTCAAATTTGTGCCACTTCTATTTGATCTGCTGCAAGTGCATGTGCCTGCATTTGTGGATGTGCCCTAAGACTGGCAAGACTGCTAGAGCAGATGAGTAGGGATCTCTGTAAATCGCAGTGTAAGTGCCCCCTGCAGTGGCTCCTTTAATGTTTTTCATTTTGCCTGTTGGCCCCCGCCCCACCCCTGATTGGTGCAGGAGTCCCGTTTGCTGCTGATCGCTGGGGAAGTGAAAACCGCAGCATATTTAAAACTGAAGTTTTTGCTTCCCTAGCAATCAGCGGCAAACAGCCTGGCCGACAGGGCCCTTCCACAAATCAGGGACAGGGAGAGCAAGTAGCAAAATTAAAAAAACATTAAAGAAGCCACTGCACTGCAGGGGACACTTCCAGCATGATTTACAGTTGTCCCTACAAATAAGATATTCCCAGAATTTGTTACCAAGCTCAGAATCACAAGGCAAAGATGGCTTCAGAAATTCATGCACAAATGTCTAGAAAGTAATAGTCTTCCAAAAATCTGGAGAAAAGTTGACATCATTGCTATCCTGAAATCCAATAAACCACCAGGGTATCCAAAGAACCGTTGTCCCATCTCACTAATCTGTGTTATGAACAAAGTCATAGCGTGCCTAATCCTGAATAGAACAGAGGACATCATTGATTCCCATGACCCAAAAGAACAAGCTGACTTTTGGAAAAGTGGTGTACCACTGACCAAGTTACATTACTTACATATGACATAGAAAATGGATTTGAAATGAGACAGAAAACAGGCATGATCTTTACAAACCTTACAGCTTCCTATGAAACTCTATAGTACTAAGGCCTCAAATATAAACTGCACTCTATGATACCTGACCACAAGCTATGAATTTTCATCATGAACGTGATCTTCAGCAGATCATTCCAGCTCACTTCCAGCCAAAGAGAAAAAAGAAGAGTATGAACTCTGAAGACTGGAGTTTCCCAAAGGGCAGTGCTAGCACCAGTTCTTTTCAAGGTGTAGTCCTCAGACTTCTCGCATACAACAGCTAAGTGATACATGTACACTGACAATGTTGCCATAGGAGCCCAAGGAATAGAGATGACAATACTGGAAATTATACTGCGTACTGACATGGAACTCATTGCTGATTATCTCCACAACTGACACTTAAAATTGAGCATCAATAAATCAGTATAATCCCTTCTCCACCTGGACAATTACCATGCCAGGAGCATGCTGAATATCACTACTCAAGCACATCCTCCCCCGTGAGCATATCCCAAACTACCTAGGACTTGCATTAGATTGCTGTCTCACCTATAAACATCACATTCAGAAGGTCATCAGTAAAGTCTCTGCATGGGTAGCTGCCTTAAAACGTTTAGCCAGCATGACATGGGGTGCCAACTTCAAAGTGCTCAGAACCACCACGCTCACAATAGTATACGCCCCAACAGATTACTGTGCTCCTATACGGGCCTGAAGCTGTCACACTAGAAAGCTCAACACTATACTTAACAGTATGCTGAGATTTATAACAGGCTGCACAACCTACACACACATAGATTAACTTCCTGTATTCTTGGGCATTAGTCAAACTGATATAAGAAGACAGACCTTAACATCATTACTGGCATTAGAGGCAAGAGATGACAAAAATCACCTGCTCCATCAATTGGTAACTGAAGATCCAAACAGATGGAGGCTTAAGAGGCTTAAAAGTCATAAACAATGTATACATGAAGCCCATAAGCTCTTGGAAGAGACTGGAGATGCTAAACTAAACTTATGGGCCGCATCCAGGTGTGCAAGCATGTACGGGTTGTGGCACCATAAACCTCTTTATGGCACCCCAGACCACATGCCCAGAATGTTAAAACATGACCCATGCTGCAAATTTTCAGTGCAGGGGCAAATTTTGCTACCAGGAAATCCCAGTAGCAAAAAAAACCATTGAGAAAAGAAGTGGTACAGTGCACGCAACAGGAGCATGCACTGGCAAACATGGAGGCTTGGTCCTCCAGAGAGATGTTCTGGCTACCAGCAAGAATGTCTCCACTCATTTAGTTGTGCCCTGGGTCCTCAGGCAGGCTGGGAGGTGCAAGGAAAGGGCAGTTTGCCAGAAGTGGGGCAATTTGACCCACACCAAAGCACATGTGCAGGAGTGTGCGCTGTGGCAAAAAGTGGTGGCATAAATTTGTGCTATTACTACTTTTGCCACTGCAAGTGCATGCCCTTGTATGCAGGGATGCATTCATGGGTAGCAATGGAGTGGGCTGACCACTGGGAAAGGTCAGACCTATTCCTCTACAGCATTTTATATCAACACCAAACGAGTCCCCCATTGGACATGACTTTGAGAGAGAAGTGTGGGTCAAGTTAAATAGACTGAGATCTGGATACAG